GGCTCTATGAAACTTGAAAAAAAATGCTGCAGCTTCTATGACGAGAGTTTCATTTCCAGAAGAGTTTTGTAGGAACTTAAGGCGCAGTTCGGCTTGGTGGGGGCACCACATCGTACCCAGCGAAGCCCAGGCCACCCTGTAGAGATCTGTGAATTCCTGCGACCAAAGTAAATCACTTGCATGATTTCGCGGCTTCACTCGACCTTGCAGGTTTACCAAAAATGAGACCGGTTAGGGGTTAGTTAACGAAAACTAGACGAAAATGCAAAATGCCCCTCCCGATCCGAATTGCGTCGGAAATAACAAATAAATCAATAAATTGGATTATTGAGTGCTCTGCAGTGAAGGATGTTCTTTTATTAAGGTGCGATTGAACGAAAATGGAGATCCAATTCTGGCCGAACAAGAGAAGCGTGAAGAAATAGTTACAACGGTGGAGAGGCCCGTCAGTTTTTTAAAGAGATTTTTTAAATTAGTCTATTTTATTGACAGCCTTCTAGGGGTGTCAGTTAAAACCCTTGATTTTACAGTGAGCGTAATTATTTAGTTGATGCCGTTTACGTGGGCAGTGCCAGCTGATCTTGGTGGTTTTGTCAATCCGCAGACGATACGCTTTACGCTTACACCGTTTGTGAGTGCCAAACGCTTCACTTGCAATCTGCTGGCTGGAGGAGAGCATTACTTCCACTTCCGGTGATTTCCCCAATCATGCAGAGAAATGGGCGAAGGTGAGCAGATTTTTATAGAATACAAAGAAAAGAGATAAGGTCGTTGAGGGACTCTTTTTGGAGACTGGAGTTTGGCCTGTGCTCAGGAGCTGTATAAGTACGCAAATTTGTCTTGTTAAAAAATGTACAGCAATTTACAGAGTCCGCTCGCATCAACATTATTAAGATAAAGCACAATTAAAGCCTTGTTCGCTGCAAGATGCTGGGCTAATTGGGGGAGGGGCTGGTTTTGGCACTGCGTCGACCCCTTCTCCACCATTAGTGGAATGCTGGTAAGCAACCCCAGTTGGCGGAAAGCG